TGTATTTGTGTGTGAGTATCTGTGTGTGTGTATGTTTGAATTCTAATAACGCGTGTTTCCTCCGCGTTGTTGAATTACCCCCCTTGCAACTGATTACACATGTTAATGCAAACCCTAATGTCTTGCAAAATTCGAGAATGATTCTCAACGAGGCTTCTCGACGATAATTCATACGCACACACAGACACTTACACACAAATACACACAAAAAAAGGTTCTTGTAATGTCCGAAGAATCAAGCCGTTGGTCGTTAATAATAAGGTTTATTATTAAAGATATTAATACAAGAAAAATGTGGAACGAGATCTCGACAGATTGCGAGCGGAATCGGCACTACGCACTATCGAACCCCTTCTTAGCCTACATAGCACGCAATTCGGGCACGGCCCGCGGATCCACGACGTCACCCTCAACACATCACAACTCTCCCGCCTTTTTAATTCGAATTCTGTTGAGACGTGGAGAGCGGCACAAATTCGACTCATCCGCTTTACCTTTAATTATTTGATCAACATGGCGCTTTTGAATTACATTTTTGTCGGTTCGTACAGCATATGTAGATGGCGAAATCTGTTTCACAATTTTACCGGCCGTTCGTTTACTAGCTCTTACCCTATAATCATTTACCATAACGTCGTCACCTACAGCTATCTCTATTCTACGTTTACCAGGTCTGTTAAAAATCTGTGCGCGTTGCTTTTCTTCAACAGTTTCAGCTCCGAATCTATTAACATATTCAATATGACACCCCCTATCTTAATGTCCATACTTTGTCCCCCTTGCACTGCACTGATTCGGCACTCCGTTTGCAATCCAAATGCATATCTTGCTTGTCCCGCGTCGGGCTCTTCGTTCAGTTCCCTGACCCTCGCTTTCGGCCGCGGTGTTTCTTTCCGTCCTCTCTTGTCCGGCACCATCTGTGATTTGCACACTGTCGCGAAATGACCCTGTTTTCCGCATTTACTGCACGATCTCGATCTCGCAGGACACTTTTCGTCTTTGTATGAATGTCCTGTATACCCACACCGAAAACACTGCGTGTCTCTCTTCTTCTCCGTTACTTTTTCATTCCTCCTCTCTTTCTTTACGCTGTGTGTCGCGGCAATCGTTTTCCCTTCGATGTCTTTTGTCTGCAAATCGATCGCCTCGATCGTTCTGGCCACTTCCATGACGTCACTCAGCTTAAAATCGCCTTTTTCCAACAGGCGTCGCCGCACTTCGTTCGATGCACATTTTTCTACAATTTGCCCACAAATTTCAATTTCTTCCGCTGCAAACTCACAATTTCTTGCCTGTTGCCTCAATCGCGTTACATACTGATTCATCGTTTCTCCTTCCTTTTGTTTTAGCTGACGAAACACGTGCCTTTCGTACGCCATATTTAATTTCGGCTTGAAATGCGCTGTTAGCGCGTCCCTTGCTTTTTCATACGCGTTTTCTTCTTCTGCGACTGTATCCGCGTCCGGTAATGTATAGAAAACGTCTTGCAATTCAAGTCCCCCATGGTGCAATAACATTGCTTTCTTTCTGTTCACGTCCACCACATTTTTACTTATCGCGAATAACTCAAAGGCTCGAAGCCACCGTTTCCACGCCGCGAATACGTTTCCGTCACTCTCGTTCGGGTTAAATGTAGGCAAAGTTTCTCCACTCATTTTGCACTTTCCAGTTCTAATCCTCGTCGCCAATGTAATAGGTTTGGGGTTATTAATAAAGACCAGCTTAATGCCAAAACAAGAACTTTATGTCCGCTCTAGGCAGCTATGCAGCGGCAACTGCCGTTCCGACGTTCACACCTCCCACTCCTTTGTTTCTCACATACGTGCCACACTCTCATGCATATTACATACACTACAGCTACATTTGGTTTTAACAGATCAAATCGAGTTCTCAGTTCGCGACCATACATGAAAAATGCTGGGCTCCTACGAGTGGTACAATGCTCGATGCTACGATAATTATACAAAAACATATCAACAGCTGTGTCCAGCGTCTGTCCCCCTTGAACGATTTTTGAGACTTTATCCTTAAATGTTTCCACAAAATTTTCAGCGGCTCCGTTCGTTGCTGGATAGTGTGGAGGCGAGTAAGTATGTTTTACTCCGTTTTTTATCAGAAATTCATGAAATTCTACACTTCTAAATTGTGGTCCTCCGTCTGTGACACAATGTAATGGCAACCCAAATCTCGCAAATAACCTTTAAATTCCTCAATTAGTCTGTATGCTTTTGTATTATTCTTAAAATTAATTATCTCAGGCCATTTAGAATACGCATCAATTATAATTAAATACATGTTTCCGTAAAATGGTCCCGCGAAATCGCAATGTATGCGGCTCCATGCCCTTAACAGCCACGGCCATGTTGTTAATAGCGTATGCGGCGGCTTCTTATGCTGAATTAAACAAATTTTGCATTTATTCACTAAAGCTTCTATGTCCGAATCTATTCCTGGCCACCAAACATACGAGCGAGCAAACATTTTGATTTTTACAATTCCTAGATGTGTAGCATGTAATTCATGCAAAATTAAGGTTCTCATGCTTTGTGGAATAACGGCTTTTAGACCCCAAAATAAACACCCTTTTTCGACTGTTAATTCTAATCTCTTTGAGTAATAGTGTTTTTCGTCATCCGCTTTGAGTAATAGAGTTTTTCATCATCCTGTAATTCTTTTACATCTGGCCAAACATTTAATACGTATTTAATTACGTTACTAATTGTTTTATCTTCTTTATTTCTAGTAGCTAACATTTTATAATCAAAAGTCTTAATCCCTTCTTCAAAAAAATTTACATGTAAAAAATCAGGTTCTAATTCTAATAATAAAATATCATTTTAGTCTAGACAATGCATCACAATTTGCATTCGCCTGCGACTTAACATGTTCAATTTTGTACCGAAATCCTGAAAGAAAATAAGCCCATCTTTGAAATCGATTATCGGCTGTTATTGGAATCCCTTTACGCGGCCCTAGGATCATCTGTAATGCTTTATTATCAGTCCTTAAAATAATTTCTTTTTCAAAAATGAACTCATAAAATTGTTTAAGGGATAACACCACTCTAGGATTTTCAGAAAGTCGATTTTTTTTTTCTTTGCTAAAACAATACTTTAGGGTCTTAAGAACAGAATGCCGTTTGATGTATAGTGAAAAACAAATTTTAAATGGTTCAATTATCAATTTTGCCGCAGTGCCTCAGAGCGAGCACTGAGTACTCGCGAGGTATGCTGCAATTCATCGCTTTCATATTATTATCATTTAAAATAATAAGTTTACTTGTTACCTACAAAACAAACAGAAGCATCCAGAAAGCTGGAGAAGATGGCAAACACTGATCTGGATAGCCAAATGTAAAGTACAAGCATTGCAGATTAGCAGTGAATAGAGAATTTCAGGATCAAAATGTTCATAAAACTTCAAACGCGTTTTTCTCGAAATCAGTTTCTTCAAACTGGGAGGACGGATTTCTCGGTAACTATTGCATGGATTGAACTGAAATTTTTACAGTAGCTGCACAACAATATTGTCCTTCGAAGTACGTAGCCGTTTTTTGATTGAATGTAAACTTTTTTTTTATAAACAATTTAGTGGTCATTTTTCATGCAAAAAGTCGATTCGTTCCTTAAAAAACGCATAACTTCCACAAAAATTGATTAATCTAAAAACCCCTACGTACTTTTATAGCCAATGGTATACAGATTCTAAATTTTTTTCATTTTTTATTCCGGGACTCACACATGGCGAGAAATCCGTCCTCCCGTGGCGGTGTTTTTCCAAAACGTGTCTCCGACGATGGGCTCTGTCGCCACCATTTTAACATGTTCAATTTTGTACCGAAATCCTGAAAGAAAATAAGCCCATCTTTGAAATCGATTATCGGCTGTTATTGGAATCCCTTTACGCGGCCCTAGGATCATCTGTAATGCTTTATTATCAGTCCTTAAAATAATTTCTTTCCCAAAAATAAACTCATAAAATCGTTTAAATCCAAAAACTATAGCCATTGCTTCTTTGTCAATTATTGCACGGCTCATTTCTTTTTTCCCAATTCTCTTTGACGCGTATGCAATTGGTTTTTCGGTGCCGTCCTTATACCTATGAGAAAGTATAGCGGAAATTCCATAGTCTGACGTATGAGAAAGTATTGCGGAAATTCCATAGTCTGACGCATCACATGCTAAAATTATTTGCTCGTTCGGATTATAATACGCTAATATACGAGGTGAAATCAACTCATCTTTTAACTATTCAAATGCATTCGTACATTCTTGATTCCATTCAAATTCCTTTTTATTTAATAATGTGTATAACGGTGCTAGTTTCGCTGATCTATCTTGCAAAAATCTAGAATAGAACGTTACCAATCCTAAGAAAGAAGCTAGTTCCTTATGATTTTTCGGTTGAGGAGCGTCTATCATTGCACGCACTTTTGATTTCGCTTTATGTAACCCGTTCTTATCGATTCTAAGACCATATCCTAAGACTTCGATCCTATCCTGCATAAATTTACGTTTTTCTTTATTAATTCTTAACCCGCATTCTTCCAGTCTTGCACAAACCTTCTCTAAATTCTCTTTATGTTCGTTTTCTGTACGGCCAGTTACGTAAATATTGTCAAGATACGCAATCGCGCCCTCGATTCCCATTAGACATTCATCCATTTTTCTTTGTACATCTGCAGGCGCCGGTGAAACGCCTTCCGGAATATTTCTATACCTAAATAAGCCTTTGTGAGTTACGATCGTGAGCAAAGGTAAACATTCTTTAGCTACTGGGAATTGCATATACGCGTGCTTTAAATCCAACTCCGAAAAAATTACACCTCCTTGGAGGCTTGTAAAAATCTCGTCAATAGTGTGGAGCGGATATTTATCGACAATTATATACGGGTTTACTGTCAATTTAAAATCTCCACAAATTCTAATATCACCGTTACTTTTGAAAACCGGCACGATCGGCGTTGCCCATTCGCTAACTTCAATCGGCTCTAGATGGCCCAAACTTACCAATCTATTTATTTCTTTTTCGATCAGTGGTTTTAATGCATGCGCGACATGCCTACATTTCATAGCCACTGACCGCGCATCATCTCTCAGGTGAATTTTCATTTCGCTTTTATTATATTTTCCCGGAGTATCGCTGAACAGTTTACTATACTTTGTGAAATAAAATAATTTTCAGAAAAAAAATACACCGACTTCGAAATGCACTAAAAAGTATAAAATAATTTCTATTTCCTAATGAAGTAATTTCTATTTCTTTGAATCATACAATTACGTCACAGATATGAATTAAACCTATTTACTCGTTAGGTAGTATATTAAATACATTTCAACCTTTTCGGAGGCGGCGCA